TAGTGGGGTTTTTACAATATTGGCTTGAGATGTGTTTATATGGAAAAACACGGTCCGTAAGGATTCATATAGCCATCCCCAACTGGTTTAGGATTGAGGCGTAGATGTTATTATTGTTGAATGTGGAAGCTTTTTTATTCAGTGTTAAGGTTATGGTTGGATGTCTATAGAAAGCTGCAGATGGAAAAGACCATGTATTTAGATTAAGTCCGGAACCAATTGTCACTGAAGTAGTGAGTGCAATGGGAACTTTGCGCCACTGACTAAAAATTCGCGATCTATCTCTGGTTAAGTTGAAGTTCTTCTTGTTGATACTATGAGAAATCTCAATGGAGTTCAGCTGCAAACCCCTGAGCCACAAAGGGCAAATAAGAGAAAGGTAGAAAAAATGTGAGGCTGACATTAAAGATATTTATTTGAGAGTGATTCCGATATTAGTGCTCTTGTGATTCTAATATCAAGTTGATGATGAGGTATTTAGCTCTTGTCAGTGATGTGTTATTAATTTCCTTGCTGTTGGGCCAAAAGACAACATTTGTAAATTTGCTTACAGATATATGATAAATGGGGTTCTGTAATACGTGTAGTGTTGAGTAATTATCGGCTTAGAGGGTAAGCATGAAGCCATAGATGTTGCAAGGGTCATACTTAAGTTGATGCTGGTATTTTGTCTGTCATTTTTTGAAAAATGGGCTATGTTGCTCGGACTCCCTGAAAATTTTGCCTGGTGCGTGTCAGATCTTCCAAAAGTAATGCCTTTTTGGAGGATTTTACATAGGTGCGGCAGCATTTTCGAGTGTCCGCGCAACATAGTAGATAGGTGAGAGTAAAAGGAATAACTTATAAAGATTGGTTGCTTTCTGACTAAGCTCATGGGACACTTCCAAAATAAACAATAGTTTACCGGAATCCATGTATAATGGGGAGAAGATCATTTTCGTGGATATTAATTCTTCAATGTTATATGAAAGATGCTATGGCTCATTATCTTTTAAAGTTGTTGCAAGGGCTCGTTGTGTGCAATCAATTGAGGAACTCTCTTTTACGTGTTATATGGTTTTTCCCTTTCCATGTAAGGTAACTACACTCAGATGCTTTTAGTAGTAAATGGGTCTCATCTGTTTTACTTGGTTTTCCTCTCATTTCATCCTTTCCTACAATTTTCTGAATTATTCAACTATAAAGGGTCATGCTTGTATAAGCATTACCGTCAAAGGACAGCATTTTTTGCTCATATTGTGTTTAGATATCTTATTTGTCGCATCATCTTCCCAACATTTTGAGACATTGAAAATGTTGAAAGGTACCAACCCCAAAGATGCAAATTATTGCACTTCTCAACTCCAACTGTCATTTCTTAGATTCACCAGTCATATCAAATATCAATATTGTTATACATGGAGTTCCAAATAATTATGACCGAGAGATACAAGACAGTAGATACACTTATCTTGGTCATATGGTCTGGATTATTCACGATACATCAAATCCGTATATCAAATCTTAATGGCAGTATTATGTTCAACTTAATACTTGGAATAGGTTGACAACTGACAAGCTTATTTGTCATCAAACGAACTTAATTCCTTGACTGAATATGTTCTTTTCAAGAGAAAAGAAGAAAAAATTCGACATGGATAAACTTTTAAGGTTCTCTTGTATTTTGGGTATGGATTTTAGAACGCAGGTATGCTGAATATATTCACATAAAGCTCTTATATATAGCATAATAAATGACCTTCGTTGATTGGAGTTTGAATTTCTCTTTTTTTTTTTTTTGATGAAGTAATGGAGTTTGAATTTCTCTTTGCTTATTGGCAGTCCACGGTATGGAATATGGATACGGAGCGCATGACTTTCCCATAAGTGGCGTGTTTGAAGTGGAACCTAAGAGCTGCCCTGGTTTCATCTACAGATGTTCAATCCCATTGGGTCGTATTAAGATGCCTCCCTCTGAATTTCAAGCATTTCTTGAGAATATGGCTTCCGAGTATCACGGGGACACCTATCACCTCATTTCCAAGAACTGTAACCATTTCACAGATGACATAGCGCAAAGACTAACAGGGAAAGGAATCCCCGGATGGGTGAATCGGCTTGCCAGAGTTGGTATGTATAATTTTGGTTCACTGAATATCATTTCCTCTAGTTTTGACTTTTCTTTTGGTCCCCTAGGCAAGTTACACATTTGGCATGTCGACCAAAAATAATTACATCCGCTAGCCAAATAACAAAAAATATGTATATTATATGCTTGTTGCTACTGCTCCTTTTTATTTTGTCCTTGAGCCGAAGGTCTTTGGAAACAGCCTCTCTACCTCCTACCCCCACAGGGTAGGGGTAAGGTCTGCGTACACACTATCCTCTCCAGACTCTACTTGTGGGATTATACTGGGTATGTTGTTGTTGTATATGTATATTATATATTAATATGCAAAAAATATACATTTTGCCGGCTATTATTTTTGGGAGCGGCTATACTGTTTAGTTTTCCCTTCATTGTTTCATCGTGATATTTTGTCCCAGATATAACTGCAAATAAGCATTTAGGTATATGATCTACCTTAGGTATATGAGGGTTTGTGGAAATTTATTCTTCAGATTTGTAGAAGGCACAAACCTAAACCTGTTTATTTTGATGCATCTGAAAATCTTGTCTTAATGTTGTTATCTGCTCATTTTAATTGACTTCTGTGGGAATGAAGTGCTTGACATATAAGCTAATGATCTCATAAAGTTATTTATTCGATTTGATCGAGTTAAAGCTCGTCCAATTCTTGAGAGCAGGATAAGCTACAACCCATAAAAGGAAAAAGCAAAAATATTAGTACTTTATTCTCTTTTGCAACGTTTTTCAAAAAGATATGGTCTCTCTACTTAATGGATGTGAGGTTTCTTGCTGATTCTTCAGTAGTGGCTTTAAATCTTTTTTTGCTAACAAAGATGACTTTGTGGTCATAACATTTATGTGTTACCTTAAGTCTTCAACGTGCCTCTCATATTTCTGTAACCTCACAATGCGATTAGCATTTATGGCGAGCGGATGACACGAGTCTTAAAAGGTGTCGTTTATTTATAATTTCAGGTGCTTTCTGCAGTTGTCTTCTTCCTGAGAGCCTCCAAGTGACAACTGTTAAACAGCTTCCCGAGTATCATCCTTGTGCAGGTAACATGATCCATATCCTTGTAATGATAAATAGAAAATGATATACTTATACTATGAATTAGTATTATTAAAAGCCATGACTTCGTCGTAAAACGATGAAGCGAGCAAAGCGAGGGGTTATATTTTACGGGGGAAACCATCCGCTTCATAAAAGTCTGAGCGCTTCAAACAATGACATGCAAAAGTAACCCCAAGAAGAAGTGGTTGGTTCTTTGAATCTCAACTTTGAGGGGTTCGATTAATATCAATATTGTTGCCCTTGGATACTACAAAATAGTAAATTTAATTGCAATTTGATCATTCTAGTGCAAAATTCATATACGTTCAGTATGTTTTAATGTCGTGAATTGTGCGTTGTACTTCAAAAAAGTATACACTTACACGCTTTTCACTTCAAACCCATGGACCTTGTTGCTTGTTGGCGTTTTTCGCTTTTAGAACCACTGCTATGAATATATCATTTATATATCTCTTATGTAGTATGTTCATTCAATAACAAGACTCTTTTCTTTATATCCAGAAGAAGATGAGAGTGGGTCAATGTCAACTGCAACACCCCACGAACCAACTGAAAGCGAAGATGGTGATCAAGATAAGCACTTGTTGTCACCTCCAGTTGGAAGTCGTGAAGTTGCTTTTATAAGGGAGACCCCGAGGTCAAACGTGCTGCCTGAATAAGGCTGGATTGAAGTATTTCAGGCATTCCGATAAGTACTATTGGTTTTCGAAAGGCTGTGGACATATCAAGCATATCCGCTGCTCAAATCACTCGTTTGCTATATGAATTACTAGTTCATTGATTTTCATGCCTTCTCCTTTTGGTTATTAAGGTTTCCTTAGTGTGCTAGATGTAGAAGTCAAAATGCAGGATTCTTCTCTGTAATTTAAGCACGCCTTTGTTAGAGCGCAGAAATATTCGCTTTAAACATTCTTGAGCTTGGAAGTTGAAACATCCCAGTGTTTGTGAAAATTTGAGATACTGGACATCTATTGAGAATGTAAAGATTCTAAGGAGGTATTCTGATGTTATGTCAATGTGTAACTGTCTGATTTTTCCAATTTCAGTTTATTTCCTTTTATTCTGATTCTTGCTGCTAGTACCCTTTGGTTTTTCTATTATTTTTTTGTTGTATTACTCTTGTTCTGGCTATCATAGATTCCCTATTATTACCTGTACTTGCTTCTGCTCGAGTTCATTACTATCATGTTGTTGCCTCTGTTTCTTTTTCATAACATTTTCATGATTTCCTATTCAATTCTTTACAGTTGTGACTGTGCTTACCTAAGCTGATGGTCTATCGGAAAAGACCACTCTACCTGCACAAGGTAAGAATATGGTTTGCATACGCACTACACTCCCCAGGCCCCACTTGTGAGAATTTGCTGGTTATGTTTGTTGTTGCCGTTACTTCGGAAATTGGCCTCTTGTGAAAAGATATTGCATGCCATTACATCAAAGCAACATTGGATTTTAGGCTTCTATGCACCTACGAAATCATGCCAATGGACATCCAAACACAAGAATAAACATCCAAACACCAAGTGTTCCCGTGATCAGATAATACAGCAGTAGGCATAAATTGACCGCTGTACAATGTTAAAAGACATGAAATGCAGACCAATATAAGGTGAATGGTCACTGCTCCCTAGTTTGGGTCGGGGGCAGTGACCTGAATCAATTGCCTGCATTTCTGCTGACCTTCAGTGCTTCAACACGGTACTCCCCATGAACACTAACCATCATTGGTAGTAATGAAAAAGAAAAAGTTAAGTCGTTGGACCATCTGTTAATAATGATACCCCATATTTCTGCAATAAGTATGCATATGAAAGTTGCTTTTAGGAATGCAACTTAGGATTTCCCCTCAAGCCCGAGTTTTGAAGTTAACCAAGCACAAACTTCATCCATCTCCTCTGGGATTGTGTAGTGGCCAAGTCTGTCGAACAAATGTGAAAGATTCAGCCACATTTCTAGTACCAAAGGCCAAACAAGTATCTGAACACATAAAAATACATTATACATACGCTGTGTAGGATTTGAATGTCACATCTTGGAATCCGCATGAACGTAACTTCTGCGAAGACTTTTCACCAAATTTATATGGAACAACATCATCTCCTGCGTCAAATATAAATATAGCAGGTCAGAGAAGGATTTAGCCCTGATACCAGCCCAAAAAGAATGCTAGAGAAGATGCAAAGTTCTTCAAACAAAAATCACACTGTGCAGAACATAGAGCCTAGAGACCAAAGGTAGCTGAAGATTGGAAGTGGGTAGCATAGGTCAGATAGAACACACCCCTAAAAGTAATAAAGAAAAAGCGAAGATATTTTTCACCTTAACATTTGAAATCCAAAATGATAACTCTGATAAATACACCTTTACTCATAAGAGAATTTATTCAAATATTATTGGACATGAGAAAATGAGAGCTGGAAAAGAAAAGACTAGATTCTCGGGAAATGGTTGCAGCAAGAAGGAAAAACTTCATCTCATCAAGTAAAAGAGTGTCTTTTCTTGTGTGTGTGTGTGTGTGAGAGAGAGAGAGAGAGAGAGAGTATCTGTGTGTCTATTAAGATAGCAAAGAAAACCTTCAAATTTGGGTAAACATTAGGCCAATATCAGTACTTATCATGAATTTGACAGATCACAAGGCAAGAGACTTCCCTAACAAATAGAAAGCAACTCCCTCCACCCCCAGATTTTGGGTGCCGGGAAGCAACAACTTAAAGTAGGGAAGCTTGTTTGAAAAATGAAGCATTTTATTTTCGAAGAAAAGTTAAGTAGAAGAAAAAATGAAGCATCCGAATACCTTTGCCATGACAAAGAAGAATGGGCAATGATGTAGCACGGCTTACAGCCCCCTCTACTCCTTCTAGTTTGCTATCGAGAGTCCTGCCAAAATAATAGCACTCAATATAAAACACCCCAAAAGTCTCAGAAGTGAAAATGGCAAGATTGGTAAAAGTCAAACTTTGCACAGGGAAGCCAGCCACTTAATCCAACAGCTGCACTCAGATTGGCAGAGTACGAGTTGCCATTCTCATACTTCCCACGAGTGAAACAAGTTGCAGAATAAAGAGATGTCGCTGCGCCCATGCTGAAGCCTCCAACCCCAAGTTTGACTATAATACACAAAATAATAAAGTAAAAGATTTAATTCATTTTTTACAATAAAGAGCAAGAAAAATGAATTCTATAGATACTAGTAAGATCACTTGAGTGTAATGTAGAGAAGGTTTGAGTGTTTTTCGGATGTTACAGCTAACATTTTGCGGATCTCTAAAATAACAACTAGATAATGGGATGACTAAGGTAGAAATAAGGAAATTAACTCTTGCTTAGTAATCATATAAAGGATCATCTAAATACGAAATATTGGATAGGAAATAAGAAATGCAGTGGCTTGTTATTAAAAATTGACAACCCTTAGCATGTATAGGCGTTTGACACAACCACTAAGGTTAATACATCTAGATGGTCTAGCCAGGCAACTTCTAGCCCCCAAGAAAGAAAGAAAAACAACTAAATGGAACTATATTATTTACACACCCCATACCAGAATCAAGTAGCAGCATTAAAGTTCAAGCAGTAAACACAGTCACACTAAAAAATCCAGCAGCATAAAGAGAATAACATTGAAAAAAAAGAGGGAGATGGAAAGCTAAATATCTTTAGTCAGACATCATAGTATACACTATTATTAAAATCCATTTGATGCGAAGGGTTATCGCTTCATGGGTAAAACATGTGCTTTATACAAGTTTGTGATTCAAATGATGGTGCACAAGTTAGTATAAGACGCAGGAATGGCTTACTGTGAGGGGGCTCCGTAGCCAACAAACTCGCCACATATGCTGCTGAAGCATCTAAACCCTCATCATCATCAATAGCATTTTCAGATAGGTCATTGACATCAAACCCTGGTACAGAAGATAGAAAAATAATGTTTTCTTTACTGCAGTGCTTGAAAGCATGACTCTCAACTTAAACTAATTCAATGACGAATTGGACAATGCTTTCGGATGAGTCGCAAATTAATACAATTATCCAATTTACACATCCTGCAATGTACAACAATGGGCATAATCTCAAAGCACAAAGCTTACAGGCAGTGGAAGGAAAGCCTCCAAATAAAGTTATTGGTCGTTGGGGGGCAGTTGGGCAGATCCATTTAATCTGCAGTTTAGAAAATAAGAGCAAAAATCAGGCTAAGCTACCACAATAACAAAAGATTACGGCATCGACATGAAAGAGCATAGCCTATTACAAGATTCTAACGCACACAACTACGAGAGTTACATGTTTAACAGTCAACAAGAGATACCCTCAAGTACAAAAAGTAACATTTGGATCCTTACATTTGGAAGAGGAAGGGTCTCCAAGAGGCTGGACCAGCTGCCAGGAAAACCAAAAGTAGATTGTAAAATGTTTAGTTAATATGTTTCAGTTGTTCATTTCAAGACTCAAGTTTTGATATTGCATACTGCACTGTGCATAGCAAGCAAGACCATCAGAGAAGCTTGATATCCATAGTAAGGAACTCGTGTAGTCGTAATAGCATATAATTGACTCAATAGTTCTAAGAAATATAGCTCACTTTTTTTTTACTAAGGTACAATTGAGTCATTGACTAAATATGTCAAGAATAATAGCTCGCTTTCATTGCCATAAAAAAGGGAATCAATCAACCTCAAACTTAGCATGAAATAAGCAACGTCATTGCTAGATATATATCAATGAAAAAATGAGATATTTAATAAAAGAACGTAATATACTTATCCAAAAGCTAACATATAAGCTATAAAATGACTAAATTTCAAATTAAAAGATGAACTGCCTCCTTAAAATTAGGACACTTCCTAAACCTACCTGAACTTACTGCAAAGAGCATCACAGTAGGACCTACAGCTAAGAGCATCACAATATAGAAATAAAAGAGATTGAGAAAAAAAATTAGCGGGATTCTATAAGAGGTATTTGCCAAAAAGGGGAAAGGATGTACTGATTAATATCACACCATCAAGCATGCAAACATTATTACATATCTCCTACATGTAACTCTGGCTACCATTAAAAAAAAGTTGGAGAAACTTCAAAAGAATTCCCTAAGGACATAGAGGATGAGATAAAAAAAGTTTCACCTCGTGAATTGGTAAACAACCACATCCTCCATAAACTATGGTGGCCTTGGAGGGAAAGATCTCAAGGTGTTCAACAAAACACTCGTAGGGAGGCAGCTTTGGAGGTTCGCCAACAATGCGTCATTTTTGGAGGATAGTACTACTCACAGCTAAGAACCTCATCCAAGAAGAGGGTGAAGGAATGAATCCATTACGTTGCCTGAGGAATATGGAATGGAGGAACACCACGAAGGTGTAGGAAATTGCATGAAAACTTTAAGCCTGGGGTAGGAAGTGGAACTGGTTAGAGAAGATATCCTGAGTGAGGCAACCTGAACTATCTTTAGCATATTGAGTCAAAAAGTATGACCAATTTACCACGTTCGTAAGATACAAGACAGTGGAACTTTTTGAGCCTTGTTACTTAGAGGAATCTTACATGATGGAAGATAGATGAATTTCAAAATCTCATAGATCTACTCGACAAGCAGAAAATCAATTATTCACATTAAGATACTCGGAAATGTTACACAAGGAAAGCGGGGCTTTTTCTGTTAAGTCTTTCTACCACAAGCTTCTCCGCAAAGAGGACACAGTGTTCCTACATATATTACTATGGATTCCAAGAGGAAGGTATCTTTTCTTCACTTGGCCGGTGGCAAGGGAGCCACCATCACAATTTTAAAACTTTCCTGAACCATCAGTTTAAAACAATTTAAAAGCTTTCCTGATCCAACAGCATCCAAGCAGATCACTGAGACAGATACATAATGAAACATATAGAGCTTGAACAAAGCAACAAGAAGTAACAGGGAAGTGTTGACAAGCTTACCTTGATCCATTGTCCCCAAGGCCATGCAGCCAAACAATAGTTGCCTGGTGTTTACCTTTAGGCTTCACCACGTAAGTCTGTCCAAACTCAAATGCCCTTCGAG